CAGCAGTGCATAAGAGTTCCGATCTCCCTGCAGCCCCTCCAACATTTGTTATTTCCAGTGTTTTTGATTCTAGAACATATTTTTCAAGTATTTTCCAAATGTGATTTGTTTTTAAATTTCTGAAAGTATGAGAATAATTGTGAAAGATGATTTTGAAACAAACAACCTGTAAATAAGATTAAGAATCAAATCTGAGTTGAATGGTTTTCACTTTGTTTTGGGTGTGTGTGTGTTTCTCTTACTGACCATCTGATTACTGTTTAAAATTATCTTAATGTAAATTAAAACAGATGTACGGAGATCTTAGATATTAAAAAAATGATTTTGATAGTAGAAATCTCCATTAGAGTAAATCTGTCATATCTTCTACTGCAGTTGAAGTGTTTTCTCTTGATTCATGGTGTCTTCAAGATTACCAATCTAAAATTTACAGTTACATGAAGTAGAGCCAAACCTGAATTATGTGTTCATTTGGAAATTAAGAAATGGCCTATTTTAACATCTTACTTTTGCAGAAGGGAGAATGTGGAGCATTTTTTACAGATAAACTTCTTTTCCTATTATTTTCCCATAAAAATAAATAGAATTAGGGATTTGTAGTTGTTACGTGATTCAACCAATCTCCCTTGCACCGTTCTATATATTAACAAGAAACTTTGGTTTTTAAATTTTTATGTATGACTGTATCTGACCCTATGTGTAGAGGAAAGAGAACATAATATTGGCATCTCCCAGAGGTAGGAATGAGGAAGATATGTGCTTGGCACTTTGAGAGTGTTGACTTTTGAGTGATGTAGTGATAAAGAAATGTTCTTGGCCTTTGACAAAAGATTTCACAAGGCTAGGATTCGGAGGAGTGGGCAATGCTTTCTATGTCCCCTTTTTACTTTTGCTGTTTGTGTATAAGGTTATGAAAACAACATTTTTCTCAAGTGTTTTATATTTTATTACACTTAGACATTTGTTAAGAAATTATTTTAAGTGGAATCTCCTAGAAAAGAGGAACTGTGTTGTGTGTTTGTACAGTGTGATTTCTAGAAGAGTATAGGAGTTCCATGAATATTTGAAAAACAGGGAAGCGTCATTGTAGGTATCATTTAAATCAGAACTTTCTGAGATCATTGAACTGTTCTGTATCAGTGCTGTCCAATATGGTAGCCACTAGCCACGTATGACTATCGGGCATTTGAAATGAGACTAAACAACTGAGGAACTCAATATATCATTTTATTTGAATATTTTAAATTTAAGTAGTCACATGTGGCCAGTGGCTTCTGATTGGACAGTGCAGATTTAGACTTCATTTCCTTACCTACAATTTTCTGTCCTGTACCTCTCTGTCTTTCTAACTTTTCCTTGCGGAAATACCAGCAAATACTAAATTTGGTAGTAAGTAATTAGCTTTCTTATAGGGAGCAGTGGTGACGCAGTGGTTAAGTGCTCGGCTGCTAACTGAAAGGTCAACAGTTTGAACCCACCAGCCACTCATGGGAGAAAGATGTAGAAGTCTGCTTCAGTAAAGATTACAGCCTTGGAATTCCTATGGGGCAGTTCTACTCTGTCCTATAGTGTTGCTATGAGTTGGAATCGACTCAACGGCAACAGGTTGTTTTTTTTTTTTTTAGCTTTCTCACTAAAAAAATACTGTTTTAAAGAAGATTTGTTTAATTAGATATTTCCAAACTTTCTACTCAAATAAATATACTAGTCATTGACTGTTTTAAATTCGAAACTTGGTAAATTACTTCAGTATAGGCCAAGTACATGGTGTAGTCTTAAATGGTTCTTGGATTGAACCTGTATATCTTTTCCTTTAGCAACATTTGAAAAATGTAAGGTGACATTGTATTGTATTCATATAAAAAAATTAAGATATCTGCCTCAGATCTTTTTTAAAATTAATTGTTAAAAATTTTGAAAAAATTTGAGGTCATCAATTTGGGAATTATCTTTCTGGAAAAAGAAATGTGAAAAGTGTTGATTTAAGTTCTCTGTGTACTTGGCAGATCATTTTTGGCTGTCAGTTGTATCGTTCTTGTAAGAAAGTTTTACAGAGAGAGTTGTTTGGCTTTATGTAATGTTAAATATGTTTGGATCATTCATTAAATTAATACTTTGTTGAGTGCCCACTGTCTGGACCACAGCAGTGAATCAAATGCAAAAGTTTATGGCTTCTTAGCACTTACTGTATTTTTACACAAATAATGCGTGCCTTCATTTGTTAGCCAACCGCCCCTCCCCGCCTCAAGGTGTTTTCATAAGCAAGCTATACCATTTTTTTTACATGGTACTGTAAAAATAAGTTAACATAATACACTTACAAGAATACCTCATGGGGGCAGGAAGTGGTCAGCAAACAAACATAGAACGTGCACATTATTTGCATAAAGATAGAGTGCAGATAGGAAGAAAAATGTGTAGTTTGTGAGATGGTGAGACATGCTTTGGAGAAAAATGAAGCAGGAAAGGCATGTGGGTGTATATTTTAATAGGATAGTCAGGGAAGTCCTCACTGAGAAAATGACTTTTAGTAGAGTTGAAGAAGGTGAGAGGACAAGTGCGCCATTATAATTCCTTAGGGAAGAGCATTCCAGGCAAAGGGAACAGCAAGAACAAAGGTGCTGAAATGAATGTGTGCCTAGTGTGTTGTATTATGGGAACAGCAAGAAGGCAGAAGATTTGGAGCTGAGTATATGTGGGTGAGAGTAGTAGGTTATAGGAGGGTAAGGGTGGTTTATAATGAAAGACTTTGGATGAGATGCCATTGAAGCATTTTGAGTGGAAGAGTGATAGCGCTGGCTGAGCCTTAAAGTGTTTTAGTAATTTAAAGTCAACAACGGGCTCTGATTAAATCTCTCACAATTCTGGTTGGGTAGGAAGCCGTCTTTGCTAAAGTTTTTATCATATATATAGGCCTATTCTGTTTTCTTCTTTCTCATGTACCTGTTTTCTGTAATTTCAATTCATTGAAAGAATATAGAACATGCTAGGAAAGTATTATGTATTATGGAATTTCCATAATTTTCTTTTTCCTTGCTTTCTGGTGTTTATTTATCAAGATTATTTAAATTGCTAGGGACAGATTTTGATACCTGAGTATTATCCCATTTATTATTTTACATATGTATGTGTATTTTTATTTGTGTCTACATATATGAAACGAGTTTTGCTTTTAAAATTTTCATTTGTTTCATACCATTATATAAACTATAATATTTCTATATACTGATAATAGGATTTTGTCACACATGGTAATATTAAAGTTTTTATGACACCGTATTTATATAGGAACATGAAGAAGATATTACAGTTGTATGATGTAGAACCAACACCTGAATTATATGCTCATTTGGAAATTAAGAAATGGCTTCTTTTAACATCTTTCTTTTCCAAAAGGGCAAGCATGGAGCATTTTTTTACAGATGTGCTTCTTTCCCTGTTATTTCCCCATAAAAAGAAATAGAATTAGGGACTAATCTAATAAAAGAAAATTAGATTATACTTTTTATTGTCTCTTTATAATTAGACTGGCAAATTTTAATTTTGTTTTTCTTTATTTTTTTCAGGGAAATATATGCAGATGATGAACATTCTTAAGCCAATTGCCTTTGATGTTATCCACTTCATGTCTCAACTATTTGATTATTACTTGTATGCAATATATACATTTTTTGGTCGGAATGATTCAGTAAGTCAATCTTTGGAGGGAAAGTCTGTTTCTTTTAAAATATATATATTTTTTCAATGTAAATTAGTTTTCATTCTTTTTATAAAATATACAAGTAACATTCTTTTGAGAATTATCCTTCATGTACAAAATTATTGATATCAGCTTTCTGTCTTCCTGATTGCCTTATTTATATATTAATTTTAAGCTTTGATATGATAAACATATTGTATATTATTCAAATTTTTGGCAGAAAAAGTGCAACATCTGTTTCTAACCTTGACATATTTGGGCAATAAAAAATGTGCAAGTTGTCTTATTAAAAGCTGGCCCTATGTATAATTACTACACAGAAAATGAAACATTATAAATATTGACTAACGACCTTAATAATCACTAATACATTCAGAGTATAACCCAATATTTATTAAAAATAATTCAAAATCTTTGAACTGAACCATCTTCAGCCTGAATTAATGTTTCCTGCACCTCCTTTTTGTGTTTCCAAAGCTGTTACTAAGTTTATTTTTCCTACTCCTATTGGAGAACATCACAGTCTTAGGCAGGTAACTGATCTGATACTTGGAAATTATTATGTGGTGCACCTAGATATTTGATAGTTTAGCATGTAAAAGCATACTGCTGGGGCCTATGAATATATCATAATAATATCTAACTTTTCTTATACTATATTCTAAACTTTTTTGGAAAAATATGTGAATTTAAGTTCACTACGTTCATCATGTGGATATTCTTAGTGTTGAAGCTGTGTTGAAGACATGACCCTTTAATGTGGCATCTGAATTTCCTGTGCTCTTGATTCTGCAAAGTGTTCCTTAGAAAGGAAGAATACTAATATCAGGGACATGCAAAGTGTACTTACAGCATTTATGTTATAAAATATATACGAATTAATTGCTCTGAATTTGGATAGTTAGTAAGTATTAATGAAGAAAGACATTGTAGTGTTTTAGCTAATTGTCAGAGTCTTTTAGTCTCCTAGATAAGTCTTACTCTATCTTCTGGGAAATGGTCTGTATTTGTACTGCCCATTGTGGTAGCCACTACTCACAGGTGGCTAGTGAGCACTTGAAATGTGCCTGAGGAACTGAATTTTTAACTGTGTTTAATTTTGGTTAATTTATATTTAAATATAAATAGCCACATGTGGATAGTGACTATCATATTGGACAGAATAGTTCTGAACCACATTACTGGTAAAGCATATTACAGCAGAGTCCTTTGGAAACTTCTGGGAATTAAATGCTCTTGGCTATGAAGTGCTGAACTACTAGCTGAAAGGTTAACAGTTCAAACCCACCCAGAGGCACCTTGGGAGACAGTCCTGGTGATCTGCTTCTGAAAGGTTACAACCTTGAAAACTGTATGGAGTGGTTCCTCTCTGAAACACGTGGGGTCTGCATGAGTCAGAACTGACTCAAGGGCAACTAACAACAACAACAGACACTGACACACATTTGTTTCTACATAAACACAACACAGTGGACCTAAAATACAATACAGTGTTCCATCTTTAAGCATCTAAAATCTCAAGTTTTGTAACTAAAAATAATAATTCATGAGAAAATAATTCTGGTGAACTCTCTTCTGATGATACATAAGAATGATTGATGTTAGTGTGACCTGTAAATGCACACATGTAAATGGTTCCTTTGTTCCCTTTAGGGCAAAGATTTGACTTCTTTGCATATTGTGCAGGAAATTTTAAGCGCAATTGGGAAAGCTCTGAGGTCTAAATATCTAAGTGAAAATTCATCAGATACTTAACTTGGTTAATTTGAAGCTGTTATATTTGCAAGATTATCTCCAGAGTGATTTAACATGTGTTTCTTTTTCTTTTTCAGTTGGAATCAACAGGATTAGGCCTTAGTAGTAGTAGATTAAGAACAACTCTAAACAGAATACAGGAAAGCCTTATTGATCTGGTAAGTAATCAGTTGGAATCAATTCCTTTGGGTTATGTAAAATAGAAATTAACCATCTAATTAACTACATATAAATGTGTGCCTATACATGTATTGAGTGCCTGAATCCTTAGTATAACACTGATTGCAGGTAGGAGGTAAAATGAAGGTTACTTATAGTCTGATTGGAGTGAGAAAACTAGGATATATGAGAGAGTATGATACTGATTATATGGCCAGTATAGCTTCAAAGCAAGGAAAACGTTAATGTGAAAAATTAATGTCAGAGAATAACTGAAGGAGGAAATGAGGCCTGTGCTAGACTTTGAAGAGTAGACGTGGGTTTAGCAGGGAAGAGAAGAAAGAACGACGTTCGAATTAAGGTACAGAGACTGAGCAAGGGCCTTGAGGTGGGAGCAGGCCTGGCCCCGAGTTTGCTACATCTTTGTGACTGGAGCACTGACAGTTATGTTGCAGAGAGTGTTAGGGACAACTTTATGAATGACCTTGAAGTTCAAGCAGAAATTTTGGGCTTGGCTTTTTCTGCAGTAGGGAGTTCTGGTTCTTGGCTGTTCTGTCACTTGATGAAATGCATGCTTTAAGATTAGTGAGGCAGCATTAACACCAAGCTGAGCCTCTGTTGGGGCCCTGGTGGCGCAGTGGTTAAGAGCTTGGTTGCCAACCCAAAGGTTGGCAGTTTGAATCCAACAGCCGCTCCTTGGAAATCCTATGGGGCAGTTCTACTATGAGTCAGAATCGACTGGACAGCAACAAGTTTGGGGGTTTTTTTTCTATTTTTTTTATTGTACTTTAGATGAAGGTTTACAGAAAAAATAGTTTCTCATTAAACAGTCAGTATACATATTGTTTTATGACATTGGTTAAGAACCCCACAACATGTCAACACTCTCCCTTCTCGACCTTGAGGACCTTTTTTTTGGTGAAAATATACATAGCCAAAGTTACACCATTTCGAAGGTTTCTACATGTACAATTCAGTGACATCGATTACATTCTTCCAGCTGTGCTGTTATTCTCACCATCCTCTTCCAAATTATTCCATCACCAGTATCTTCAACTTACTGTCCCCTAGGCTTCCCATCAAAACTTTTGAGTTGCTGTTGTCAATTTGATCTCACATAGATAATACTTTTTTTTTTTTTTACCTTAGATGAAGGTTTGCAGAATAGTTTCTCATTAAACAGTTAGTACACATATTGCCCTATGACAATGGTTAACAACCCCATGACATGTCAACACTGTCGCTTCTCAACCTTGGGTTCCCTATACCAGCTTTCCTGTCCCCTCCTGCCTTCTAGTCCTTGTCTGGACTAGTCCTAGTCCTGGACTGCTGTGCCTCATTAGTCCTGTTTTGTTTTATGAGGCTGTCCAATCCCCGGCTGAAAGGTGAACTTTGGGAGGGGCTTCATCACTGAGCTAAAAGGGTGTCCGGGTGCCATACTCATGGGGTCGAGTCTGGGGTTTTTTTGACACTCTGTTGTGTTTAAGCTAACATAAGCATTTAAAATAAAAATTTTTTTTTTGTGATTGTTTACTATAGCCAGAGATGTATGTTTTCCTGCATGTTTGTCTGCATCTACATTAAAACCCAGGATTCTCTGAATTTTCTCTTAGTCCTTCTACCTACCCAAACAAGCATTTTCCTCTTCTTTTATAATCCCTATATTGTATGCATACTTCTGTTACTGAAGTTTTTATAAAGCACTGTAATCATTTATTCTTTTAAGAAGTATTTATTGAAATCATTGTTATATGCCAGACATTACCCTAGATCTTAGTTATTAGTCTACAACTGAAGTCTATCGTGTTCCCGGCTGAAAGCCTCAAGATCGAGGGAGCCAGTTTCACCACTAGAGCCATTCACTTTGACATTTCTCTATCATCTTTGCTAGTTAGTATTTTATGATTGTCAAACCACATTCCAGACTTGACCCTTAAGGCATGGATTTAATGCTTCAGGTTCTGCCACATGGTATATAATGAAACAACATGACTGAGTAAACAATGGGACCAAACTAGCTGTTCCTTGAGGCAGGCTGCCACCCATCTACTGATAATTATGTATTGGTAGCATCTGGCTAGAGGTCTTGGTGGTGCAATGGTTAAGCACTCAGCTATTAACCAAAAGGTTGGTGGTTCCATCCAGCATCTCTGTGGGAGAAAAACCTGGTGATCTGCTTCCATAAAGATTATAGTTTAGGAAGCCCTATGGGGCAGTTCTATTCTGTCATGTAGGGTTGCTGTGAGTTGGAATCAACTTGATGGCACCAAATTACAACAGCATTTGGCTGATCAGGTCTGTCTTCATTGGAGAGTATTGTCCTGAACTGGTAAAGTAGTCAGCTTTAGAAATCTGTTTTAACAAGCCAACCTCCTCTTTGCTGCTGTATAAATAAGTAGAAAGGTAGACTGTTTTTTTTTTTAGTTTGGCATCTTATCTTTAAATTTTTAAACAAAGCTTTTCTTTAAAGCCTCATCCTTACCATCTTTTATATTGAAAGACCGTACATTGGAACAGAAGACCGTTAAAGCAGTCTTTTCTCCTTCAGTGCATAGAACCTTTGCCAGGGCCTCTCCAGTATCCTTATTTCTCTGGAGGCTAAGACTCCACAGCAGTATAGTAGAAGTTTTTCTAAAGATTTCCATTAGTTTCCAGTGTTGAAATGTTGAATTACTACTCATACTGATAAGCATTGGTTTATTTCTTTAGAAAACACTTTTGTCATTTACTAGACCTTGATCTCAGGTTTTTTAAGCTAGTATATTAATTTTCTTGACTTAATTTGCATGTACATTGGCAGAGAACATTAATTGATTTCTTGCTACTCAGTATATTCTTTGGCTATTAAAATAATTTATAGCCTAATCAATCTGGAGCCAACTAGCTGGAAGTAGTATTTTTCCTTACAATTCTCCTACATGTCAGTTAAAATTTTAATAACACTTTTTTTTTTTTTTTGGTAATTTCATTTCCTCAATAGACATCTTCCAATATTTTCTTCTTTTTAAGCTGTCATTATGATCTTAAAAATGCCACCTGAAATAGTTTAACATATAAATCCAATACAAACTAACTAAATGTGTTTGACACATCAGAGAAAAGTCTAAAAACGGGGGTCTAATAGAGGGAGAGTAGGAAAGGATGATGGGATAGGTGTTAATGCAGCCAGAAATGTGGATTTTTAATTATCCATTTGACAATGCTAACTAAGTTGTTTGCTTTAATGCTTTTGGCCAATCTTAAGTCTTTGAAAAAAAAGTATTTTAAATTTGTCCAGAAAGTCCGTAGTATGAATTCTCTTTGTATTAGTAAATTAATGGCAGCAAAGACCCAAAAAATATGACTTTTGCTGTGAGAATAAAAGATTAAGATTTTTCTTTCTCCAAGTCTTCGCTTATCCTTTACTTATTGTACTGGTGTAATTTAAGAGCTTTTTCCATTTAAGTGCACACCTAAGCACATACCATTTATTTATGTCGGCTTGACATTTTTGTGACTCTCTTGCTCTCTTCAAGCATATTTTCCTAAATGTAAACACAGAACTTTAGCCTTTAAGCAGATAATTACTGTAATTTTTATGCCTAAAATGCCAGTATTAACTGGGAATATAGGCAGACATCCTCATGATAGCCTTTTGAAGTAGAGTGAACAATTCCAGTGATCTCTGAAAGAATGTCTTTAGAAGTGAGCTCTGAGAGTAAAGGAGGACCTTACCTTCCAGCCACAGTATTTTTGGCGACTCGTGGCGGCACAGTGATTAAGAGCTATGGCTGCTAACCAAAAGGTCGGCAGTTTGAACCCATCAGCCGCCCCTTGGAAACCGTAAGGAGCGTTCTACTTTGTCCTATAGGGTCGCTATGAGTCAGAGTTGACTCCATGGCAGTGGGTTTGGTTTTTCAGTTTGGTCATACCTAGAAGGAGCTCTGGTGCACAGTGGTTAAAGAACTCAGCCGCTAACCTAAAGGTCAGTGGCTAACCTAAAGGTCAGCGGCTAACCCACCAGCCTCTCCTCGGAGAAGGATGTGGCAGTCTGTTTCTGTTTAACGATTACAGCCTTGGATACCCCTGTGGGGCAGTTCTACTCTATCCTACAGGGTCACTAGGAGTCGGAATCAATTCGGCAGCAATGTGTTTGGTTTTTTGGTTTTAGGCTGTACCCAAAGATAAACTGTATTCCCCTCAGGCTACAGATATACCCTCTCTGCCTTCTATCACTGCCTCCCTGTTCTATCCAAATTAACCACTTAGTATCTGTCTTAGTTTCCTAGTGCTGCTGTAACAGAAATACCACAAGCAGAGGGTTTTAAAGAACAGAAATTTATTTTCTCACAGTTCAGGAGGCTAGAAATCTGAAACTAGGACACTAGCTGTAGGGGAAGGCTCTCTCCATGGACTAGCATTCCTAGATTCCTTGGCGATCTTCAAGTAGCATCTGTCTTCCCCCATTTCTGCTTGCTTCTATATATAATCTACTCTTTTAATAACGCAGAAATGATTAGGTTTAGGACACACCCCCATGATATGGCCTCCTTAACATAACAAAGAAAACCCTGTTCCCAAAGGGAATTACATCCACAGCTGTAGTGGTTAGGATTCCAATACATATTTTGCAGTTCAATCCGTAACAGTATCTAAATTCAAAGAAACTTTTAGCTGTTATAAATATGGTGTACACATGATGGTATCTAATCACAAAAGAATGAAATTCAAAAATAACTGTGTTATTATGTGTGGGTAGTATTTGTGATGATCTTTGGGCTATTTTGAGTGTCATTTGTAAAATAATCATACGATGGTGACAGATTTAGACTTTTTCTTGTAAGGAGTGGATAGTCATTTGAGATTTTTAAACTGAGAAGTGGTGTGACCAGATCTGCATTTTAGAAAGATCACATCTGTATTATAGAAAGATAAGCTAGTTAACTGTGTGGAAACTGGAGTAGAAACAAGAGAAGCTAGAGGCAGAGGTCTCTGTTGGGGGGCTTTTAGAATAGTTAAGAATGCTAAGGGGCCTGGAGCCTGTATAAGTAGTGGCATGAGAAAGAAGACAAGAGAGGTTTCTGTTTAAGCATGTATTAGTGACTGATTGGACGTGGGAAGTAAGGAAGAATGGGAGTCGTGAGAGATTCCAAGATTCCTCATGCAGACATTTGGTAGTTGGTGATTAAATAAATAAACATCAGAATTAAATAACACTGGCACACAATTGGTAATAGTATCCTATTTGTAAAGTTTTTTTTTTCATCCTTGTAGTTTTTTTGTTTGGCAGAGGTGGGGTGGTTATTTTCTTTTCTAGTAGAAGACAATCATGGAGATGAAACATTGCTTAACTTGCATAATTCCCTGACCCTTGTTTGATGCTTCCATAGAGGACACAGAATTGTTATTCCCAAAATAACTTTTAAAAGACGATTGAGTAAATAGAGACTGAAAAGAAACAATATTTTTAGTAGAAAATATTGCTGTTAGTTGTCATCTCTGCAGGTGGGCTCCAACTCATGGTGACTTTATATATAACAAAACGAAATGTTGCCTGGTCCTGTGCCATCTTCATGATCATTGGTATAGCAAACAATATTCTGTTGTAATCCATAGAGTTTTCCTTGGCTAATGTTTGGAAGTAGATTACCAGGCCTTTCTTCCAGTTTGCCTTAGTCTGGAAGCTCTGCTGAAACCTGTCCACCATGGTTGACCCTGCTGGTATTTGAAATACCAGTGCCATAGCTTCCAGTATCATAGCAACAGGCGAACCACCACAGTATGACAAACTGACAGGTGGTAGTAGTCGAAGGTAGGATATAAAAAAGAGCTAACATGGAATAAAGCTATTTTCTAACTTGAAAGACTTTAAAGTGTTTTATTTCCATTTCCCTAAAATTTATAAAAGTAAATTATATTCCCAAAGTTGTATGCATTTGGTGTCTTTAATTCATACTGAAAATCTTAATTTTAATTATAACTATGTAATTTTAAAAGTTATCTAGATTTAGATTTTACACACTACTTATTTATGTTCAATTTTTATGCTAGAATTTTCTTTTAGGGTTTTTTTTGAAGCCATTATCTGTATTTGCATTTAAACATTTAGTCATGCTGTCTATCTACTCCTATATTCTCTCCCTTTAACACCATAATGGAGATAATTGTTAATATTTTCAGTACCGAAAACAGTATATAAAGTGCAGGGATTGTATTAGATAATGTTTATAATCTCTTCTAGCTTTGTCATTCTATGATTCAGTGAAAATTTTAAAACTCTTAATTTTATTGTGGTAAGAGATACGTAAGAAAACATTTGCCATTTTAACCATTTTTAAGTGCACAATTTGGAGACATTGATGACGTTCACTATGTTGTGGAACCATCACCACCATCCATGTCCAAATGTTTTTACATCACCTTAAACAGAAACTCGGTGCCCCTTAAGCATTAGCTCCCACTTCCCTCTCCCTCAAGCCCCTGATGACCACTAATAAACTTTTGTTTCTGTGCATATTTGCCTGGTCTAGATATTTCACGTAAGTGAGATCATACAATATTTGTCATTTTGTGGCTGACTTATTTCACTCGGCATAACATTTGCAAGGTTCATCCATGTCATAGCATGTATTGGAACTTCATTTCTGTTTATTGCTGATTAATAATTTTTATTTTTATTTTTTTTATTTTCTTTTTTTTTTAATTGTTCTTTAGATGAAGGTTTACAGAACAAATAGTTTCTCATTAAACAGTCAGTATACATATTGTTTTATGACATGGGTTAACAACCCCAAGACATGTCAACGCTCTCCCTTCTCGACCTTGGAGGACCTTTTTTTTGTGAAAATATATATAGCCAAAGTTACACCATTTCAAAAGTTTCTACATGTACAATTCAGTGACATCGATTACAGTCTTCCGGTTGTGCTGCTATTCTCACTATCCTTTTCCAAATTATTCCATCACCATTATCTTCAACTAACCACCCCCTAGGCTTCCCATCAAACCTTTTGAGTTGCTATTGTCAGTTCTATCTCACATAGATAATTCTTTCTTTTTTGTACCTTAGATGAAGGTTTGCAGAACAAATAATTTCTCATTAAACGGTTAGTACACACATTGCCCTATGACAATGGTTAACAACCCCATGACATGTCAACACTGTCCCTTCTCAACCTTGGGTTCCCTATCACCAGCTTTTTTGTCCACTCCTGCCTTCTAGTCCTTGTCCCTGGACTGCTGTGCCTCATTAGTCCCATTTGTTTTATGGGGCTGTCCAATCAGCGGCTGAACGGTGAACCTCGGGAGTGACTTCACCACTGAACAAAAAGGGTATTGGGGAGCCATATTCTCAGAGTTTCTCCAGTCTGTCAGACCAGTAAATCTGGTCTTTTTCTGTGAGTTAGAATTTTGTTCTACATCCTTCTCCAGCTCTGTCCAGGACCCTCTGTTGTGATCTCTGTCAGAGCAGTCAGTGGTGGTAGCCGGGCACCATCTAGCTGTGCTGGACTCAGTCTGGTGGAGGCCATGGTAGCCGTGGTCCATTAATCCTTTGGACTAATCTTTTCTTTGTATCTTATTCTCTTCATTCTCTCTTGGTCCCGAAGGGGTGAGACTAGTGGAGTATCTTAGATGGCTGCTCACAGGCTTTTAAGACTCCAGACGCTACTCACCAAGGTAGAATGTAGAACATTGTCTTTATAAACTGTGTTATGCCAATTGAGCTAGATGTTCCCGAGACCATGGTCCCTCAGGGAGTTTGGAGGTGTCTATGGAAATTTTAAAACTTATTACTAAAGGACTGAGGGGGGCATTGATTGACCTATATTTAGGTAACTTAAAAAAAAAATAACAGCGCTGTTGAACTATGAGTTATTGTATGATTTGCATACCAATTGTATTAATTTTTTATTTTTGTAAATTTTGTGAATGGACTTTGTTACCATGTCGGTACTGGAAAACCTTACACTTAAACTAAAATTATAATGTGCATTTCTAACTCAAGCTAATTGTAATTAGAAATCTATTTGATTATAAAATTCCTTCATGGCCTCACATAGTGTAGTGATTTTGAGCTTATGATATCATCAGTATTGTTAGGAGTCATTTGTTGAGAACCATGCCACCGTTGAGGGCTTGTTTCTACAGTGCTTTTATGTGATGTCACTACCTTGACCTCTTGCTTCTCTAAAAGCAATAATCAAAACTTTCTTTCTCTGACATTGAATGTAGCAATTATTTATGTTATTGACATGATGAGGTCAGTATTCTAAACAGCATCCTCAGATGTTTGCTTTCCAGAGGGAATCTTGTTAGCCCAAACGTATCTTTATTGAAATATGTGGAGTGATTGATAACTTTTGAGCTGTCAGTCTTCTTGTGATTGTTCATCTGCTTCAACTAACCAGTCTGTCACCTCCTTACTTAAGGTCTCCTCAAGACACTCCTTATGAGATAGATTGTCAATGAGTTCAGCTTTTTTTTAATTTTTTTTTTTTACTGTTTACTAAGAGCTCAGTAAAAATAAGAGCACTTTGCTGTGGATTGAGGGAAAACCGGGTGTGCATAACTTTGAAACTCTCCCAGTGCCCGTCAGTTTGTTTCTAATAAGGGAAATATTTCTCTGAAGCCCTAGAATGTGTATGACTCATATCCAGGGTACTCCTTGCTTGGCATCAGAATACTGAAAAGGTAAATTAGTAATGAGAAAGTTGTTAGTGAGCATGACATCAGATAAAAGTAAAACTGAGAGATTTGAAGACTGATGGATTTTTTTCTACCTCAGAATAGACCACATCACTCCTGTAGACAACACCGGTGTTTACCAGAATCAGTGGTTCTTGCTTGGACAGTGCCGAGGAACCCAGCGCACCCTGCTCTTGGGGCATCACTTTTCTTTGTTTACACTAATCATCTTCCTCCTGATCACTACTACATGTACAATACCCTTGATTCTGTTTCAGTTTGTAACTACATTCTAGGCCTGTCTTCCAGATTACACTAAGATTACCTTGTTTAAGGTTTGGATGGGAATGGTTAATCACACCATAATTTTGGATTTTACCAGTTTGACTTTCAAAGGGTAAGCTCATTTCCCTGTTTAACAAGTTCTCGAGAAGCATTCACTATTGTACCGATGAAACATCTGTTAATTCACAAAGATTCCTCATCTTGGCAAACTTCAGGTCATGCACAGATGGTAGCATATAGTGTTGAATGACATTACACAAGGATCATTTTCACTTACTGTAAAAAAGAAAGTTCCAATATTATAAAGTAGAAAAGCAGGAAAAAAGAACTAGAACTAAACTAAATTAATATATCTATGAGTATTTTAATTATATTTCAGTTTTGTCAAAATCACCTGGTTTATTGCTATTAGATTTGCTATTTCAGGTTGCGTGTATATGTGTGTGTTTTTCTTTCAGGAAGTTTCAGCTGATCCTACCAGCACACTCACAGCAGCAGAAGAGAGAAAGGAGAAGGTACCAAGCCCACACCTCAGTCAGCTTGTGGTTTTGACATCCGGGGATACGTTGTATGGCTTGGCGGAAAGAGTGGTAGCCACAGAATCCTTGTAAGTTGTTAAAAACAGTTGCTTTGCCATTAAAATATTTAAGAAAGGTTATAGAAGTAGCATTGTGTAATTAGACTTCTAGATGCAGATAGTTATCATTTCTAAATATATATACTTCTGAGAATTATATTCTAAAATAGATTACCAGTTAATTTTTAAAACTGCATGGTTAGTTTTCAGTTATATAAATGGAAAGAAGGAAATCTTTTAAGTTTGAATCTTTAGCAACAAGATCTTTGCTTTACATATTGAGTATTGTTTACAATTGGAAAACTATAATATACTTTATATATTCCTGTGAGATTCTAGAGAAATCATATTATCCGTTTAGTGTAAATATAGTTGATACTTGACATCAGCAAGAATGCTTCCTGAACTTTATAAATCCTCAAATTTGATAGTATAATTAAAGCATATAACTTTTCCCATAAACTTTTGGCCAGTGTAAGTTAAGAGTTTTTGCATATATAACAAAAAGTAGAGAAAAACCATGGACCATTGCAGAACAGCTGCAGGCGGTTGTTTAGGGTTATTCACCAGGCAAATGACTCCTACCCCTGCACACCAGCCCTACCCATCTGCAGTTCATTTGTATGCCTCAGCCAAATTTACAGTTCACTACATATTATGGAAGGAGCTCTGCTGGCTCAATGGTTAAGCGCTCAGCTGCTAACTGAAAGGTTGGCAGTTCAAACCCACCAGCAGCTCTGTGGGAGAAAAGATCTGGTGATCTGCTCCCATAAAGATAATAGCCTAGGAAACCCTACGGGGCAGTTCAGTGTGTACTATAGGGTTGCTCTGAGCCAGAATGGACTCAACGGCACACAACAACATGTTATGAATATTTGGGTTACTTTTGAAAAGTGTCACATGTTGAATCTGTCAATTCCGAGAGTCTGTTATATATAATTAAATGGAATCTTTAAAATAAATCTTTCCAAAAGAAATAGTTATTTTCTTTAAGCTTTTGTGTTGTCTATGCTCATATTTTACATGCAAAACAAGCATAACTGTACACCTTGTGGTAACCAGATTAGCTTCTTTGAAGTCACCCTTCTTTCACCTGAGTTTCCATTCAGTGATAAGCTAAGCATTGATTATTGTGTAGATTGTAAGTGAGTGCAGCAAGTGGTAGTTCAGGGAAGCTAGCTGAAGTAGAAAATACTCTTAATTGTTAAAGTTTTGCTGAAAGATCTTAAACATTACTTATAGAAACCATTTGACAGGCTCTAAATCCTGCACTTTGTTTACACTGTGGGTTATTTATTCCCTGTAGGGTATTCTTGGCTGAACAGTTTGAGTTTCTTCAGCCACATCTGGATGCTGTGATGCCTGCAGTCAAAAAACCCTTTCTTCAGCAATTTTATTCTCAGGTCAGAATTGGTCTTCTATATAATGTCAACTGTGAGCAAGATAGGACTGTCACACATTACTTAGGTATTTTTATTAGTGGTCAGTCTCCATACTCTAGGACAGCTGGATTAGAATGTTTGTTTATTCACTAGTGAATTCCCATGTTCAGTAAATATTTATCAAGCACTTCACACAACTTTTAGTCTAGTGAGAGAGAGCCAATTAAAACTGCATTTACAATAAAGTATGATAAACACTATGATAAGGGGAAGGTACTGTAGGAGTAGATGGTAGGGTATTTAACCTAGACTGGAGGAGAGGGATGTAAGTGGGAGAAAGTTGTTGAAAAAGGCTGTTTGGAGGAAGTGATGGTTAAGCTGGACCGATCAGGTAAGGAGAATGAGTTGGGAGTCTATTCCAGACTAACAATGGCACATATGAAGAGCAGAAGGTAAGAGAAAGGTACATGTGAACATACAAGGAAAAACTCAGTCTGTCGGAGCAGGAAATAGAGCTAGTGATGAGAAAGATAGCTGGAATGATAAGCAGGAGCCATATAATGTAGAGCCCTCTCAGCCAGGCATTATTCCGAGGACACTGGGAAGCTACTAAAGGAATTGAAACAGGTGAGCAGTATGGTCAGTTGTGTATTTTGGAAGAGTATTCTGGTGGCAGTGTGAAGATTGGATTTGAGATAGCAAGTTTAGAGGCAGGGAGACCAATTTGCAGGCTATTACAATATTGCAGATAAGAGATGTTGGGATCCTGAATTAGAGCATTTGGAGTGGAAATGGAGATAAGTGGAAGAATTTGAGAAATATTTGTAAGTCTCCTTAAGAATCTGTAATTCTTTTATAGTTGTAGTTCCACTGGCCTCAAGTTTAGTGAATGTTTTAAAATTATGTTCTGAGTAAAGACTTTGTCCATGGGTTAAAAGTATTTTTGTAACTTAAATCTCCAAATGTATAGTCTTTTATTTTCAGATATGATGTATACTGGGAACCAGGGCAAAATATTCTTTATGAATTTGATATTTTTAGAAAATAATTGTTTCTATTGCTGTGAAATTTATTTCAGACGGTCTCAACTGCCAGTGAACTGCGCAAACCAATTTACTGGATTGTAGCTGGTAAAGCCATTGATTATGAGCAAATGCTGCTGCTAATGGCTAATGTGAAATGGGATGTAAAAGAAATTATGTCACAGCACAATGTATATGTAGATGCGTTGTTAAAGGCAAGTACTCTGGGACTTTGTTAAAGATCATTCTAGTAAGAAATTTCCTATAATTACAATAGCTCTAAAATAGTAAGAGTATAGTTATTACCACATTCTAGCATCATGGTATTAATTCAAGTCCCTGGATTGGAATACACTTAACTTCTGAATTTTGTGTTCTTTTAGGTCCAAGAATACTATGTGGGTTTTTGTTTATGTTTACTAATTTCTCATTTTAGTTAGAGTTTACTACATTCCATGGCCGACTTTTACTTTATGTAATCTCCATAGTCATGACTTTAGTGACAAGAAGATTTTCTGTTTAATTAGAAGATATTTCTGTAGTTTAATGTATATATTTATTAACACAGACTATGCCCCTTAATTACCTCCAAGTGATTTTTTTCCAGAAATCACATTACTTTTGCACTGTGGCATGTAAACACCCCTTTATGTTTAATGACTTGATTGGAGTTCATTTTTTTTTTTTTATGCATCAGTAGGTATTTATAAATCACCAGTGTGTTCGATGCCCTGGCATAGGTGCTGGCAGTATAGTTGTGAATTAAGGAACTTACATGACCTCTAGGAATTTACACGCCAGTGCGGAGACAGCACTGCACACATAAATAAGATGTTGTATGTCAGGTGATGAATAGTGCTGTGGAAAAAAAAAAAGCAGAAGAGGCATAGAAAGTGACAGGGAATGGGTGGAAGAGGGATACCATTTGTTTCATGTGGTCAGAGAAGGACTCTGATAAAGTGACAGTTGAGGAGAGGATTGAAGGAAGTTAAGAAATGAGTCATGTGGCTATCTGGGGTGAGGAAAGCTTATCAGAGGAAAGGAAAACAGCCTTTGGAAAAATTTTGTTTTTAATTTTTGTCAGTGAAAACAAAACTGGCCCTTCTTGAACTCCTGACTTTATCTCATTTACTCATACTTCCTTACTTGCAATAAATAATAGCCTGGGACACTTGAGAACCAATAAAAAAGCAATAGATTAAAAGAGATAGCAGCAGAGTTCCATCTAGTATGCCAACTCCAATCAACTTATGGTGTCTTCTGGAGGGCCAGGTTGAAGACTGTGAGACTGTGCCCTGATGAAGAGGACCAGAGTGCCAAAATCAGTTAGCGCTGTCTAGGAGTTAGCATGGGGACTCAAGGGGTAAATGACAACAAAGATGCTCTGTGTTTTCCACCCATTGAAATACTAGGAAGAACTTTTATTTCTTGAGTACCCAGAAGTTTCAGTATGGAATTTTAATGTGGAATTTGAAGCTTCTTGGGTGGCACAAACGGTTAAGCACTTGACTACTAGCTGAAAAGTTGGTGGTTCAGACCCACCCAGAGGTACCTTGCAAGACAGGCCTGGCGATCTGCTTCGAAAAGGTCACAATCTTCAGAACCCTAGGGAGCAGTTCTCTGCATACATGGGGTCACTGTAAGTTGGAATTGACTTGACAGCAGTTAACAACAACAATGTAGAATTTAAAAGATAAAAAATGTAACTTATAAATAATGGTGCCTCCCTTTTTTAAACAATTCTGTTTTTGAAAAGTTGATTCTATTTTTTTATGACATGCAAACCATAGTAATCATAGAGATGCAAGAAAAAAAGACTCGGTTCTCAGTGAATATTTATACTAGAAGGAGCTTACTTCCTTCAGTTATTCTTAATTCCAAGAAATATGAATTTATAAGAAAGAACAAATATTCTTCAGATTAACCTGAACTCAATTTATAGCACCTTAAGACCTTCCTTCATAAAGGTTGTTAGTGATAACTTTCGTTCTTTGTATTGCGTATCCAAAGCCAAACATTTAGATGAAAGCAACCTGGTTTTATTTCCCCAAAAACAACCTGAAATAAAATGAAATGCTTTTAATAACAAGCTTTCTTGAATATGGAATTTAGCAATTAAATCAGTAGAATCCCATTTTATTAAGAAAGCATATAACTTTAAAAGAAAATATTAATGAAAAATTTTATATCATGACTCTTGAAATCCAAAGCAGAGTTTACTGTACTGTGTATAAATGCAGCAGCAAATACTGTTGTTCTTCTAGACTCATGAAATGAAACAGCAGATGGAAAGCAGTTATGTAGCTGTTATTTTCATAGGTGAGCTTAGTGAATTGAAAGTCCACTTCCTTTTCATAATTAAAAGCAGTTAACTGTCAAAAATGAGTCAGGAAAAATTGTGATTTAGGTAGTAGCAAAAAGCAAAGGTTAACACAATTACCATTATGTGCTAACTTGACTAGTGATGATCAGAATAGGTTTTTTATTTTTTTTTCTCTTCCTCTGAGTATTATTAGTAAATTTGAACATATAGTCTTGACTTGCTAAGTATTATATAGCTTCTCTATTCAGGAAAACTAAGGAAAAATGCCATTTTAAGCCTTAAATTTATTTGAAATACATTGTCAGGGAAGAGCCAACAGCATTTATTTTTTTATAAATGACTACATTTAGACCAGGGACACATTTATTGAAGGGTGAACCATCTGCTGCTTTCACGTAATTATTAGAATTGTTGAAATTAGTCATATACATTTTTATTTTTATTGCAATGGTGTTATAAAAGTTACTAATAGATAAAAATTAAAATGTTCAGTTTTCTGTAGGTAATAGAAAATATTTTATGCTTCAGGTTTTTTTTTTCTTTTTATAGAAAAGTTGCAAGCAGTATGATGACTTTTGAATCACTCAGTATATAATAATTTACTTACTTTTATAGAATGTTTAGGAAATAATAATTTATCAGATTAATCTCTAAGGAGTTTAGCCACAAATTACAAATACTTCACTCTTAAGTTGAAAGCTTATTAAAACATTTTTTAAAATCAAGTTTCTTGAAAATACATTTAAAGCCATATTAGATTATTCAGCTCTTTTAATTCCTACTGACAACCATAGAAAATTTGAAAAGTAGAAACATTTGGACACTGTTAACATTGAATTAGCTAACGACATTTATTTCCTTAGATAAAATCATTGTTCTCTGTTTTATACTATATTCAAATTGGTATACTTTTTCTTGAACTATCACACTAAATCCAAATTATCTTTGACATTAGCTCTTTTTGTTTTATTTTCTTTGATTCTGAGTCTTTGTAAATCATCTTCTTTACCATGTTCATGAGAAATCAAAATATTATAATGTAAATAGCATTATAAAGATATTTACATGCAGGCATGATTTTTGTCTTCTTTAGGAGTTTGAACAGTTTAACAGGAGGTTAAATGAGGTTTCTAAGAGAGTCCGGATCCCGTTGCCTGTGTCTAATATACTCTGGGAACATTGCATCCGACTGGCTAATAGAACTATTGTGGAAGGGTAAGTTTTTCATGAAAACATTATCTGTTAGTTAAATTATAGGATATGAATGATACTATATATTATCACTAATGGATGGAGAGAATAGGTAGAAATAGCTAGCCAACAATCCCATAATAATTCAAGTTTGACTTTGGAATATAATTAGAGAGGAAACCTTAAACCCTACTGTGCCTACCTGCCTATCTTTGCTTTCTTTTCTTGCTGAACCTAGAACCACCTCTTAGATGAATGAGGAATGAGGCATTGAATGGTTATCTGAAAGTTACACTAATAATAATTCTTATTACTTAATAATATGATTTTAATGATGGTATTATACCTAACATTTATTGAGCACCAATTATGTGTCATTTACTAAATCATATACTTCACAGGATTATATCACCAAATCCTAACACAAACTCTCTTTGATAGATTAACTATTGTTATCTTTAGTTGATCGTTACCTGAGAAAACTTAGTTTCACAAAGAAGTTAAGTAACTTGTCCAGGTTCATGCAGTTTTTAAGGGCAGAAAAGGCACATGAACTTCTGATTTTCTTATGCCAAAATCAGTCCTCCTAATTACTATATCACAGCTAATAATAATTATCCTATCATTATAAACTCTACAGATCTTTCATATGTTCAGTTTACATATCTATTAATAGTAAATTTCCCACTTACTCAGAGACCATGCTTATTGTGTTCATAACATCTAGAACACAAGTAATAAACAGTAATACATTGGAAATATCCCTGAAAAGCAAATGTCTGTCTCAGAAACCATGCAGAGTGACCTAGAATTGCACCTCAATTGAATTTTCACACTACTTTTGATCTGATTTCTCTTCAGTTCTTGATTGTTGTTTAAAAAACTGTATTAGAAAGAAGGAAGCTAATGGTGACAAGCTGACAACAGTCTTGGCACCTACCTATTGAAACAAACAGTTCTATAATTACAAATGGCTCTTTGTCAACAATCGTGACTGAAAAGCATTTCCAGTAACTTTGCTTAATGGAGAAGTGTACGATATGTTACCTCTCCGTACAAACACTATTTGTCAAAGAAAAGATTTGATCACTTTAAATAATATAAGCTTTAATTTTCTTGCCAATTTCCCTAAGGTTGAATTTTCCAGGTTTTGTATGATTAATTGAAGGGAAGAAACACTTTTTTATGAGTAATAAAATGCTACATATACTGTTAGGTCAATAAATTTATTCTTATTTCTAGACCACCTTAAAACCCACAGTTTCAGTAGTGTAGGTTGTGAGAATAAGTCTATAAAGTGTTTTATCAAGAGAAATAATATATTCTGTATATGCTTATATGTTTACATGTTAATGTTTACTGAATGTTCATGGGGGAATTACTTCATTTGTTTCCTTTGCATCGAGTAGTTATATTTAACAGTCTTATGGAACCAGGGTTACTTTGGACTATTCACAGCTTAGTTTTATAAATGATTCTTGGCAGCCAGATTAACTGCATTACCAGTTTAACTTTCTTACAGACCATTATGCTAATTGGATATAAGGAACTATGGATTTTAGAGAGACAAAAAACCTTAGAAGTTACTCTGTGTCTTTGCTATGCAGATGAGGAAACTGAGGCCCACAGAGCTAAAATGACTGCTGGTGAAAGGGCTTGAACGCAGCCCTTTCTCCTGTAGCCTCTCATTTCTGCATAATTTGTCCAAATCGAAGTTTGAGAAAAGGACTTAGTGCTCACATGTATGATTGGAGTATTTTTTTTTAAAGTACCTAGAAGTTTCTTTTTTTAACCATGCTGTCTTTTATTATTTTTATTATTATGTGTCTTAGATATGCCAATGTCAAGAAATGTAGTAATGAGGGTCGTGCCTTGATGCAATTGGATTTTCAACAGTTTTTAATGAAACTTGAAAAACTAACAGATATTAGACCCATTCCTGATAAAGAATTTGTGGAAACTTACATTAAAGCCTACTACCTGACCGAGAATGACATGGAACGCTGGATCAAGGAGCACAGGGTGAGAGCTAGGACACAGTTAATTGAGTTTTTATTCACTTTCCTTTGTGTTTGATATATATTTTTTTATTCAAACTCATGGGAGTGAAATGTAAAGATAGATTTACTTTTTAACATAAATTATTTAGGCCAGTTCTTTGCCATATTCAGATTGTGTGTGCAATGCAATGCTCTTTGCCTTATCAAATGCTTTTGATCCTTTTGTGAACTGTAACAGTAATTATCTGGAGATATAGCCAAAGTCTAAACATTGACTGTATTTATTCTGTGACTGTGTTGTAGTAAAAGGCTGAAGTTAGTTAACTTCAGGATAAATCGAATACAGCAACACTGAAAACTTTCATAAACTAAACTCTGTTATATACTGTAAACGTTCTTCGTACCCCTAAACAACTGAAATGGTGACATCCTGAATACATTGACATGTGTTAGTGACAATTGAAGATATTATTTAACTGATTAAATTTAACTTGCATCCTTGATTAGATTTTACCTTTAATAAGATGTGATTATTCTTCTTTTGTGTGGGCATAGAGATAAGTAGAGAAAAATACTATTTATTAAGTGGTATTTGGGATGCAGAATTTATGACATAGTTCAACTCAAAATATTATCACCTGAGCATACCTGATATGGGGAGCTGTCTGTATGATTGTTATATCATTTGTCTACATAAGCATTATGTGAAGATGGATTTAATGGAAACATGGGATGTGTTAAAATCATCACCAAATTGTATTACTTTAACTTTGGTCTTCACAGTTACTTAGAGTATAAAAATCATGAGTAAAAGCTAGGTAAAATTTTCATTTGACTAGGTAAGGAAATAAGGAATTATTTGTATTTACTTTATCAGGCTCATCCTTCTTGGTTTCAGCACTCCAGAAAAATGAAATGAACATTGTTGTTGTTGTCGTGTGCGTCGAGTCAATTCCAACTCGTAATGACCCAATAGGACAGAGTATAACTGCCCCATAGAATTTCCCAGGCTGTAATCTTTATGGAAGCAGACTGCTACATCTTTCTCCCACAGAGTGCCTGGTTGATTTGAATCATCAACCTTTCCATTAGCAGCCGAGCGATTTTCACTAATTTGTAATGCTCAGTAACCATCCGCTGAAACCTGAATGTTTGCCTGTTCTCTTCTTGCATTGATCAAATACATGTCTTTTAATGTACTAAATTTGGATCTTCTTTTTTTGAGCAGGAGTATTCAACAAAGCAGCTGACCAACCTGGTGAATGTTTGCCTGGGATCCCATATCAATAAGAAAGCAAGACAAAAACTTCTGGCAGCTATAGATGACATAGACAGACCCAAGAGATAATGAACACAGCTCTTTTTCCTCAGTGGCACTTATCTTCTCTTGACATATATGACATGAAAGCCAGTTTTTCATGCACTCCTGACAACTGTCTGCTAAGAAACTTGTGCATGTTCTTTCTAATGGGAAAGTGGAAAACAGATATCTAAGTTTGTGTGGTGGTCTCACATGACTTTTATATGCTCTAGTCCCTTCTCTTCAACTTTTGACCTCATTTGTTGTAACCCCTTCCTGAAATGATATTATTGCCCATCATAGCTATTGTTATGTGATGACAGTGATATTTTACAGAAGAATGTACCTTAAGTCTAAAATTAGAAGGAATAGTGGCTTAGTATATCCATGGGAAGTTTTTAGAGAAAGAATTTCAATGAAAATATGTTGGCATTTTTCTACCTTCTGAACTTTGTTCTTAATGAGCATATGATAGGGTAATGTACATTATCTCCTAATTATGAGCACTGCATGAGCATTAAAAAGTAAACATCAGATAAATACTTGAAATCCAGTATGTTCTTTGTGTTTTTAAATGTCAGAGTTTATGTCAGAGTTAATTTGGTCATAACAAAGTGATCATAAATGGTGAAATTTAATAAATATTATGCTCTAACATGACCAGGCTATGTGAGACTGTTTTTTGATATTTTTTACATGGCAGGCAGATTTCATGAAACTATAATGAATTTTTTTTTGGTGTGTACTAATTTTAATGATCTTATATCCTGAAACCAATGGTAAAAAGTAATTTCATTGAGTATTTTCAGTTCCTGAGTAGCATGCAGAATGGTGATTGTGGGATTTTCTTTTTCCTTTCTTTTTTGAAATAATGAGCATTTTTCATACAAGCTTTGCTCTCTTTAAATTCATCTTCTGTCCAAGAACAGCAAAATCTGGCTTAGCTGACTCAGGGAAAGAACTGTCAGCTACTCAAGTATAAGGTCGTATGTTTGCCTTTCTTAAATGTCAGCATTGTATTGCAGATGTAAAATAATGTGAGTTTAAATGATGAACTTTGGAACTCAGTTAGTTAGCCTTTAGTAACTGTGTACTGCTGTCCCTCTAAACTCAGAAGCCAAGGATCTTTTCTCAACATATATGACATGAAAACCAATTTCCCATGCACTCCTGACAACTGTCCAATTTTTGTCTGTGTTCTTTCCAACTGGAAAGTGGAAGACATCTAAGCTTGTGTGATGTTAGTCTGGTGATTACTGAGCGTGACCTATAGCATCAGCAGCTCATGGAGTCCTGAAGCATCTCATGAGAAACAGGCCTTGTGTTATGTGAATCTTCTGGGAACTGAAGTGCTGACATGGACGGCAAAGGGTAGTGTGTTATCAGGCAGCTGATGAGGAGACCATTGCCTCTCAGTGGTCCTCAGTTCCTGAAGATGTCCATAACTGGGACACTAAAATGTGAAACACTTCTATAAAATGTCTCTGTGTGTATGTGGAGTTCTTTATTTCCAATCTCTCACTGTGCAGCATTTGTTACAAATGTAATATTGACAGTAAAACTTCCTTCTCATAAAAAGGTATGAGTTTGGTGCCATAATGATCTACTTGTACTACTAGATGTGTGCTTATAAGGTGGGATTCTACCTGTAGCCATTATCTGTAGGTGGCCACTTGAAGAAAACAGACAAGATATGCTTATATTTAAATCATATATTCAACTGGGCACATGAAGAGCTAATCAGTTCTTATTTATTTCTCACTTGAGTAGGAGTGAGTGCTTTTTTACATGGCTTTTATAGGTGGCTTCCTTTCATTTCTACTTTAGTTGACTCTTGATAGTTTGAATAGCAATTATTTGCCTGGTAGAGGAAACTGTTTTCCAGGATTAATAGTAATTGTTACAAAAGGCTTTCTTATTTTGTTAGAGACTCAGCCATGCAGTCTGACAGACCTTTTAACCTACCCATACTTCTGCTTTCTCCATCTTCAAAATAAAAATGGTAAGTCTCTCTTAGAAGCTTTTTAAAAGTTTTCTTTTGCATTAAAAAATCGTTTAATACGTGCTGACACCAAAACAGGAACAGCAGATATGAATCATGAAATTACCTAATAACAAGAGAGTTAAAGACATTTCTGAAATATATTATGCAGTGATACTGAATTATAACCATACACTATTTAGTGAAACTAATTTTAAATCGAATTGAAAAGCCGAGAATCTAAATCAAATTATACATATACCAAGAACTTTACTGTTATCAAATATTTCTTTCTAAGTTTTTTGTAACTTTGAAATTTTGTATGAAAGCGTCCTGTAGTATTTTAAGTTGATATGGGAATATGGTAAATTAGTACTGCCCCTGAGAAAGAATGATTATTTCTACAAATACATCGTCTTGCGTTAAAAATGCTAGGGAGATACATAGTAATCCAAATGAACTAGTTTGCTTCAGTTTACAAAACCTACAGAGACCTCATAAGTTCACTTTAAGTAATAAGCTCATTTACTCAAATTACAAAATGAAATAGAATTTCTCTTGCATCTGGGACAATGTGGTATTTTTTATCATATCTTTATGCAGAATTTCATTTGAAATTTTCTGTTCAGCTGAGTTCACTGAAATGTAGTCATAAAAAAAAGGTTTGTAATTCTATAACAATAAAAAATAATTTTTTTAAAAGGTTGGTAATCCTATTCACTCTGAAAGCATAGTTATCTTTTGTAATGACACATTAGACTTGAAGATGAAATGCAAGTTGCACTCAGAGCAAATAGCAGTGGTAATGGCAGAGGTGGGGTGGAGGGATAATATCTATCTACCTATCTATCTACCTGTCTATCTGTCTATCATTCTGTCTATCTATCTGGCCGGCTGGCTGCCTGGCTGGCTGACTCTCTATCTAATCTATCTATATCTATCTATCTAATCAACTATCTGTCTATCGTTGTTAGGTGCCATCAAGTTACTTCCTACTCATGGCACCCCTTTGTACAACAGAACAAAACACTGCCCAGTCCTGCGCCATCCTCACAGTCATTGCCATATCATTGCTATGTTTGAGCCCATTGTTGCAGCCACTGTGTTAGTCCATCTCGTTAAGGGTCTTCCTCTTTTTCACTGACCCTCTATCTTACCAAGCATGATGTCCTTCTCCAGGGACTGGTCCCTCCTGATAACATGTCCAAAGTACGTGACAGGAAGTCTCACCATCCTCTCTTCC